CAGATCAACTGCCATCGCAGTCACAGTAACACTCGTGGTCAACGCAGATCAACTGCCATCGCAGTCACAGTAACACTCGTGGTCAACGCAGATCAACTGCCATCGCAGTCACAGTAACACTCGTGGTCAATGCAGATCAACTGCATATGTAGTCACAGTAATAATTGTGATCAATGCAGATCAACTGCGTTCGCAGTCACAATAATAATCGTGATCGATGCAGATCAATTGCCATCTCAGTCACAGTAACAATCATGATCAATGCAGATCAATTGCAATCGCAGATCAACTGCATTCACAGTCACAGTAGTAATCGTGATCAACGCAGATCAACTGCATTCACAGTCACAGTAGAATGCAGTTGATCTGCATTGATCATGATTGTTACTGTGACTGAGATTGCAATTGATCTGTGTTGACCACGGTTGTTACCGTGATTCCAAATGCAGTTGATCTGCATTGATCACAATTATTACTGTGACTGCGAATGCAGTTGATCTGCGTTGATCACGATTACTACTGTGACTGTGAATGCAGTTGATCTGCGTTGATCACGATTACACAGTCACAGTAACAATCATGATCAATGCAGATCAACTGCATTCACAGTCACAGTAACAATCATGATCAATGCAGATCAACTGCATTCGCAGTCACAGTAACAATCATGATCAATGCAGATCAACTGCATTCACAGTCACAGTAGTAATCATGATCAATGCAGATCAACTGCATTCACAGTCACAGTAGTAATCATGATCAATGCAGATCAACTGCATTCACAGTCACAGTAGTAATCATGATCAATGCAGATCAACTGCCATCTCAGTGACAGTAATAATCGTGATCAATGCAGATCAACTGCATTCGCTTGGAGATCAACAACGCGGCGATCGACGGCGACAACAGCATATCGGACTGGGGTCGCCAGGCATTCAGCGGCATCCAGCAGAAAGCGCGGCGGCAGCTGCTAGCACTGATCTGCAAGAACCGAGCCTCCGTCAAGCCGACGATGTTCCACACGGAATACGAGTGGGACCAGGTACGATGACGGTGATGGTGATGACGATGATGATGACGCTACTGCTGCTGCTGCTGCTGCTGCTGATGATGATGGTGGTGTTTTGTCGATGGTTATTATGATGACCACAATGAACATGATGACGATAGCGGTGATGATCACGACGGAGACGAAGACGATGGTAATGACGATGTTGATGAGTTTTGTCGTGATGATGATGATGATGATGACTACGATGACAATGACGATGGCGATAATGAGTGTCCGCTCCGCGTGGCAGGTCGATCCAGCGGACTTGCTTCCTCACCGGCTGGACGACACGTTGGAAGAGCACAGCTTCTTCCTGCAGTACCACAACGGCATCTTCTTGATGGAGAACGACACGGCCGACGATGACGACGACAACGACACGCATGGGAACGACGTCCGGAACCTAGGCGATCGCCTGCAAAGGTGAGCTGGTCTCTTGTTGCGTGGTTACGTTACAATGTCGTTTGGATTCTGAAGAGTTGGGATGGTTTTCGGGGTGGATGCCGGTGTATTCCTGGTTGCGCGCATGTGTTTGTGTGTGTACGTGTTTGTGTGCGTGTGCGTGCGTGTGTGTGTGCGTGTGTGTGCGTGCGTGCGTGTTTGTGTGCGTGCGTGTGTTTGTGTGCGTGCATGTGTTTGTGTGCGTGCATGTGCGTGTGTGTGTTTGTGTGCGTGTGTGTGTGTAATTGTGTGCATGCATGTATGTGTGTGTTTGTGCGTGCGTGTGCGTGTGTATGCATGTTTGTGTGTGTGCGCGTACATGTTTGTGTGTGCGTGTGCGTGTGCGTGCATGTTTGTGTGTTTGTGGGTGCATGTTTGTGTGTGTGTGTGTGTGTGGAGTGGATAATAGGGAGGAGTGTGTCAACAATAAACAAGGGAAATTCGTCATTTACTAGCCTTATAATACCTACGATTTACTACGCGTAACGCAACCAACTTGAGCTCAAATCGTACACAGTACATCCTCTTCCCATCGTGTGAAATCGTTTCCTAGTATACACCCTCAATCCGGAGATACAGACTAAAACCTACGACACGATTTTCAGTTCTGTTGCCAGCAAAATCCATGTGGCGAATAAGCTATTTGAAACAAAAGGCAGCTACTAACCACACTGTCCAGGGCTTGCGCTCACGGCGAGGCGCTGTGGCTCGCAGGGAGATTGGACATCGACGCAACGGGCGAGTGCTACTGTATCCTATCTATGGCTGTAGCCTGTAGCCGTGCAGCGACGCACTACTAGTACTACCCCCACACTTTACTGGTGTGCTATCCATGATAATAATTTGCAGATATTATATACAGATTATTACAGAATATACAAGATTGTCTGGCTTGTCTGGCTTGGATACAAACTTGTCTGGCTCACCAGCGATCGTACCGCACTATTTATTTACATGCCGCGATGACAGCAATATGGTCATAGCAACGTGTACACGAACCTCGTGTACACGAACTCCTGCACGTGAGCAGGAGTCTAACAACAAGATTACTGTTTATTGATAGACTCATGATGTGCTATTGTGGGGTCGGTTATACACGCTGCCGCTGAGCTGCAGAGCTAGCTGCTGCTGATTGCGGTGGGGGGTGGATACCAGCTGTAAATAGGTCAAAGCAAAGGTTAGCTCGCTGAGTGTTGCGTCGATGTCCAATCTCCCTGCGAGCCACAGCCCCTCGCCGTGAGCGCAAGCCGTTGACAGTGAGGTTAGTAGCTGCCTTTTGTTTCAAATAGCTTCCTCGCCACATGGATTTTGATGGCAACAGAATTGAAAATCGTGTCGTAGGTTTTAGTCTGTATCTCCGGATTGAGGGTGTATACTAGGAAACGATTTCACACGATGGGATAAGGATGTACTGTGTACGATTTGAGCTCAAGTTGGTTGCGCTACGCGTAGTAAATCGTAGGTATTATAAGGCTAGTAAATGACGAATTTCCCTTGTTTATTGTTGACACACTCCTCCCTATTATCCACTCCTGATATATATGAAACTGACTTCTTAGGTTATAACATACCATTTCTTATGTCGAGTGTTGATTACCATGTAAGAGGTTGCTGTATGTCAGACGAACTGTACTGATTATCAATCGAATATCATTGTTTCCATTATCAATTAGTTGAATGTTATGCAGGTACAGCTGCGTGGACCCCATAGCCCACTTGAAATGAAGATACATGGAATGACGACTATCTCCAAAGTCAGGTAGGAATGTACGCCGGCATGCATGCACACACACCACCACGCACGCACACCACACACACACACACACACACACCACACACAAACACACACACACACACACACAGCAAAACATGCGACACATGCACGCACACACACACACCACCACACACACACACACACACACCACAACACACACACACACACACACACACATACACACACACACACAATGCAAACATGTGCACACACACACGCACGTACGCACGCACGCACACACACACATGCACACACACACATCACACACAGGCAAAACTACGTCACAACACACACAACGCACGCACGGCACACACACGCACGCACACACCACACACAGACACATTTTGCATCACGCACGCGCGCGCCCCGGCTCGTAGCCAATGTTCACTCCTGGATTAGCTATTATAAACATTTAGGCCTGATTATAATACACATTGGCTTGTGTTAAACCGCCGCGTATGTGCATATACTTCTTGAGAGCGATTATCGTGGAACGCGACAGCGTCATTCAGTGTTCTGGACAGCCGAACCTTAATAGACAGTCATGCACGCCTTCATCGTAGCAGCGCGCTTGGCCTCAGATCCCTCAGTATGCTCCAAAGCTGACAAAACAGTACACCAAGCATCAGGAGCAATGGGAGAACTAGCATTAAACCATCATTTCTAAGAGCTCAGTATTATGTTAAGATTCTTAATTCACTAACAATCTACACCTCACAGTCACGCTATACACCTGATCCAATCTTGCGCGAGGTTTCTTCTCATGTTCACCTCTTTACACGCTTGGCAACGTCACTGAGATAACTTATCAATTGTGGATAGTTTGAGGTACACATACGCCCATAATGGAGCACCTGACCTGTTCGGTGATGAGGTCTCCTTTTATCAGAAAGACAATAGGTCGGTGGCTGTGCAGCCAGTATGCGTAACATATAGCATTTTGGGTGTCGCGGGGTATATGAATGTTGTACTTAAATTATTCTTACAATCCTGGCGCCATCTAGTGTCACCTTCACTGCACCTTAACAGTATACCTTTGCTTCTAGCCAAGCACCTGTCTAGAATAGCAGAAATGGTGATGTGTTTCTCAGAAATTTATTTTTATATATTATGATTTATTCTGAAAAGTTTCTGCAATGTGCCAAGGTGCAGAAATGTGTGATGGTGAAACTAACTGTCCTATACTGTATACATTGCTCTTCAGATGCGTACTACCATAAAGGATTGGACATTAATTTAGTTATCTGTGAAATTTACAGGTATACGCATTACTGCCAGAAACACGATCCCTCCTCCAAACATCATGTCTTCCGCCTTAAGCGCACTACTAATTTTTCCCCTACGCTGAATTAAGTATCACAACACTGTACATACTAAATATTGCTAACAACATTGTGATGGTCTGTCACATGTCTCATTTAATGACTTATCTATTGACATGTGTCATGGTTTCTACTGCCTAGAGTAGCATATCTAATCTATCTTAAGATATCTTAACTATATCTGCAAAAAAAAAACGAGACATGATACAAGAATGGAGAATCTAACTTTACTCCTTATCTGCCTGCAAAGACCTTAGCTTCTAATTTTCGATATATAGTTAATTTCCAGTGGCAAATCACTCACTTACCATCTTCTTTGCATCCATTCAGGGCAACAAGCGAAAACTCCTACACGGTTGCATTGTTGGCTCGGCGCCAATAAACGCTGCCGCTTGGAAAACTCCCTGTTTTCTGACAATGGACATCGCAGATTTTTTCCGACACTCACTTGCATATCAACGATCCTCTAATCGTATGAAAGTTAAGACATCATTTCATACTCGTTTTGATTAAAGAATAGCATTGCCAGATGCCGCGATATCAAGACAAATGCTCATGCATAACTAGACGAACAAATGAACTGGTTTGAGAAACGTGTCACAGTACCGAGGACCCGCAAACTTACAAACGTTCCTACTAGACGATATAGAGATTTCGGAAAGACGACGCTTCGATGTTGTCATGTTTACGGACATGAACCCGTGAACTGCGATCCGCACACACGAACCGCTCGCAGTGTCAGATTCGAATGATTGTCTTATGAAACGAAATATCGTCGTATTATTTTGACGATATGAATATTGTGTATGTTTGCTTGCCATGCCGTCTACAATATCTGATAGTATCCTATTGAAGCCATTAAACACGTTATTCATGTCGTATCGTCGCTTAAATCTTGTGTTATGTACGTATAAAGCCTTCAAATATCGTCACATGATCATGCGGTGTGAAATATCATTATGCCCGTTTATGCTATCATGGCACAAATATCACGTTACGAGCGTGGCTCGTGCGGCGCGGCCGGCCGGTCTCCAACGTATCGCACACCACAATCAATCATTCACGCGGGTCACATTAATAGTCGTGAATCAACACAGCATTCAACTCATCGCAGTCACAGTAACAACTCGTGTCAACGCAATCAACTACCATCCAGCAAGTAACACTCGTGTCAACGCAGATCAACTCACATCGCATCACTAGTAACACTCGTGGTCAACAGCAGAATCAACTCCATCGCGTCACATAACACTCGGTCAATGCAGATCAAAAATCTGCATATGTGTCACAGTAATAATTGTGAATCAATGCAGATCAACTGCGTTCGCCAGTCACAATTAATAATCCTGATCGATGCCAATCAATCTGCCATCTCACGTCACAATAACAATCATATCATGCAGATCAATTGCAATCTCAGCTCACGTAACATATCATTATCAATGCAGATCAACTGCATTACATCACAGTATAATCGTGATCAACGCAGATCAACTGCTTCACAGTCACAGTAGTAATCGTGATCAACGCAATCAACTGCATTCACAGTCACAGTACTAGTAATCGTGATCAACGCAGAATCAACTAGCATCGCAATCACAGTAATAATTGGGACTCAATGCAGATCAACTGCCATTTGGAATCACGAACAACCAGCTGGTCAACACAGATTCAATTGACCCAATCTCATCACAGTAACAAATCATGCCATCAATGACAGATCACTGCATCGCAGTCACAGTAGCTAATCGTGAATCAAAAGCAATCAACTGCTTCACAGCTCAACCAGTTAGTTAATCTTGTCAACGCATATCAACGCATGCGCATCACAGTAATAATTGTGATCAATGTATCAACTGCCCATTTGAATCACGGTAACAACCGTGGTCAACCATATCAATTGCAACTCTCAGTCACAGTAACAATCATTGATCAAGCAGATCATCTGTTCACAGTCACAGTAACAATCATGATCAATGCAGATCAACTGCATTCACAGTCACAGTAACAATCATGATCAATGGCGATCAACTGCATTCGCATCACAGTAACAATCATATCAATGCAGTCAAACGCATCACAGTCACAGCTAGTAATCATGAATCAATGCAGAATCAATCTGCATCACAGTCACAGTATTAATCAGATCAATGCAGATCAACTGCATTACACAATACAAAGTGTAATCATGATCAATGCAGATCAACGCATCTCAGTGACAGAATAATTCTGATCATGCAGTTATCAACTGCACGTTGAGATCAACAACCCGCGATCGACGGCGACAACAGGCATATCGGATGGGGTCGCCAGCAATTCAGCCGGCATCCAGCAATAAGCGCGCGGCAGCTGCTAACTATCTGCAGAACCGAAGCCTCCGTTCAACGGACATGTACACACGGAATACGAGTGGCACAGTACGATCACGGTGATGTGTACTATGATTGATGACGCTACTTCTGCTGCTGCCTGCTGCTTCCTCGATGATGAATGGTGTTTTTGTCGATGCGTATTAGGATGAGCACATATGAAACATTGACGATACGGTGCATGATCACACGAGACGAAGACTGATGTAATGACGATGATTGATAGTTTTGCGTGATTGATGATGATGAGGGACTACCGATTGACAATGACATGTGCATTAAATGAGTGCTCCGCTCGCAGTGGCAGGTCATCCACGCGACTTGCCTTCCTCACCGGCTGAGACGACACGTTGGAGAGCCACAGCTCTTCCTGCGTACCACAACCGCATCTCTTGATGCCGAGAAAAAACACGGCTCGACCGATGACGACACCAACGACACGCACCCTCCGGACGACGTCCGAACCTTAGGCATCGCCTCAAAGGTGAGCCTTGGTCTCTTGTGCTGGTACTCTTACAATGTCCTTTGGATTCTGAAAAAGTTGGGATGTTTTCGGGGTGGATGCCGGTATCCTGCCTTGCCCCGTGTGTTCGGTGGTACCGTGTTTGGGCGTGCCGTGCGTGTGTCTGTGCGTGTGTGTGCGTCGCGTGCTGTGTTCGCTGTGCGTTGCCGTTGTTTGTTCGTGCGTTCAGGTGTGTTGTGTGCTGTGCATGTGCTGTGTGTTGTGTGCGTTGGTGATGAATTGCTGTGCATGCATGTATGTCGTGGTTTCTCGTGCGTCGTGCGTGTGTATGCCATGTTTGGTGTGTGCCGCGTACATGTTGTGTGGCGTGTGCTGTGCTGTGCATGTTTGTTGTTGGGGGCATGTTTGTGTTTGTGCTGTTGCGTGTGTTCTGCATGTTGTATCATGTTATGCGTCATGTGTGCGGCGTGCGTGCGTGTGTCGGCGCTTTCATTTTGTCGTTGCAGACCTGCCAACCTGTGATTCATTGAAAAATTTAAGGCTTTTCTTTTCTTCAGCGAGTGGCCATTTGGTTTGTAGTACATGCGCGCATGCAATGCTGCGACTACTCTAATCACGCGTCGAGAAACAACGTGAACGCTATCCAGTCCAATATGCGCTGCGCCCACAATCGCCAGATATTTCTCGCTCACAATGTAAAACATTAATTTTCACAAGTTCGTTAAAAAATCGTAGTTTTCCAGTTTGATCGTACATTCGTAGAAACATCATGGAATTCGTAAGGAATACGAAAAAATCGTAAGGGTTGGCAGGTCTGTGTGTGCGTGCATGTTTGTGTGTGTGCGTGTCTGCATGTTTGTGTACGTGCATGCATGTTTGTGTGCGTGCATGTTTGTGTGTGTGCGTGCATGTGTGTGCATGCGTGTGTGATGTTTGTGTGTGTGCATGCGTGTGTGCATGTTGGGGTTCGTTCTTGGTGTATGTGTGTTTGGGCTTGTGCATGTCTGCCAGGTTGAATGTAAAAAGATGCCAGGTTTTATGGAAAAAGATGCATGGAGAAAATTTGTTAAATTGTGAAACATCTCGGCATACTTGAGTGATACTGTCATATCTGAACCAGCAATGGGTGTGTGGCAGGTTCAATTGTAATGCATACACTTGCTCGCCCCTCTCTAACTCAATCTCTTCCTTGTCATCCTTCCTTCTCCCCCCCCCACTACTCTGTCTCTTGCAGTTGCTTCCTCTGTTATTCAATCGATTGATATTTCTAGGCAGAATATTTCCGGAGCAAGTGGATCGTAGGCATTGAAAGGCATCTGTTAATGAGTGCTGCGAGATGGCAAGGCACACATCACACATCGTGCCAATGTACAGACAGACTCACTACCGTGAGTAAATTGTTCAGTTTGTCGAGATTATCATGTGCAAATGAGATATATCGCATATGACGTTGTACACTGTGTACGTGTGAGTATTTTTCAGTTTCTCTTTCTTTGTACAAGAGGGTGCCACCAGTATAGCTGCATCTTTAAACCAAAATTTTAAAGTACTGCACAGGTAGAAATTGTCTTATTAAAACACAATAGCTACAAGAATTGGCGGTGAACTTGGTTTCAGATTTGTTGACATTTTGCAACGTCTAGAAGCACATTTGTGAAATTTGAGTCCATGTAGTGGCGATGTTTGATGGTAAATCCTCAGTTGGAATTTACTAATTATGAAACTTGAGGTACAATTCAAAAGATCAGGCACATTGCAATATAATTTATTTTAGTTATAAATACAGAGCAATGTAACTTTTTTTTTATACATTAGATGAGGTTTTGTATTACAATACAATGCAGAGTCAGTCAGAATTAATGACAGACTTCGCTGGAAGTGTTGACAGAATCATGCATTTTACTTAAAACTAACTCAGTTCTGATGGCTTCATTAAAAATAATGCAAGCAAACATAATTTGCATAGCCAAAGGTTTTTAATTCTATCATACCTAGGACTTCTCGTTATGCATTCACATTTCTGATTAATGGCTTCTGATTTCTGATGATTTTGTAATGTGGAGTATTCTAGTATATCTACATGGTTTGTGGAACAGATATAGGAATTATTGTAGGTTATGAAACAGAATATGTATTCTTTCCATTTTGTCCATTCTTTCCTTTTTATTGTCTGTACAGTAAAAAATTGAGTATACATTAATAAGTTAATTTCATGTGTTTTAGTTTGTATAATTTTGCGATTTAATTTAAGGTACTAGTTGAGATTAACAAAAATAGTTTAATGTTTTGGAAATCATACTATATAAATATCAACAAAGGTATAAAAAAAACATAGCCTATGGGAAAATGGGCTGAGGTTTAATGAAAATATTACTGTTACAATTTGTCATGTTTCCCATTCTTCATTATTATTACGTAATATTCCCATGATTTAGGTAGCACCAACAGCAATATCATGCCTCAACCCTTTTTTAATTTAATTGCATTTTATAGTACAAAACAATTCGCCATTTAAGCATCAGTTTTAAAATAGTCTGATATGACCAGGAGTACATAAGGATTATTTAGAATATACCAATCTCATATACGCCTGGCATGACATGCAGTGACTTATCAGGCCTAATCCATTGTGTAGTTGAAGGTTCTTCCATTGACAGACAGTGTGACAAGTAATGACCGTGGATCCTTTGGGTCTTTAAGCACCTGTACATTTCCTCTTATGACCTCTCCTGCATAAGGTAAAAGACTGCATCTCTATCGCAAGGACAATCACAAGTAGAGCATGCCCACAATAAACTTGCAGTGTGTAATCTCTTAGTCTTGCCAGCATGCAAAAGTACTACCAAATCATTGCCGTCCTATTCTTACCACTCCGTACTATGGCTCTGACTACTATCATACACATATGTATATTATACTCATGCATTTACTATAGATTATAGAGTATATTATTAGTATATATTCGCGCCCCAGGCTCGATGCGCATGTTCACTCCCTGATTTAGCTATTATAAACATTGTTAGTGCCTGTGAGTATAATTTACGATTGGCTTGATGTTAAACCGCGCGTATGTGGATACTTCTTGCAGGCGAGTTATCGTGGAACGAGACAGCGTCAATTCAGTGTTGCTGGACAGCGAACCTAATGACAGTCATGCACGCCTCATCGTAGCAGCCGGCGTTGGCCTCAGTCCCTCAGGTATGTGCAAGCTGACAACAGTACGCCAATGCAGTCAGGAGCAAGGGAGAACTAGCATTATACTCCAGTTCTAAGAGCTTCAGGTAGTTAGGTTTAAGAGTTCTTAATTCACTGACAATCTACACCTCACAGTCACGCTTACACCTGATGCAATCTTGGGAGTTTTGCTTCTCATGGTTTCACCTCTTTAACGCGGGCAGACGTCACGAGGACTAACTTATCAATTGTGGATAGTTTGAGGTACGACATACGCATAATGGAGCTACCTGACCTGTTCTGTGATGAGGTCTCTTTGATCAGAAAGACAATAGTCGGTGGCTGTGCAGCCAGTTTGCGAATCGATACAGCAGTTTTGGCGTGTCGCGGGGTTATTGAATATGTGTACTGTAAATTATTCTTAGCAATCTGCCATTTAGAGTGTCACCTTCACTGACCTTAACAGTATACCTTTGCTTCTACCAAGCAGCCTGTCTAGAAAGCAGAAGTGTGTTGATGTGTTTCTTCAGAAGTTATTTTTTATATATTATTGAGTTTATTCTGAAAAGTTTGCTAGCAATGTGCCAAGGTGCTGAAATGTGTGATGGTGAAACTAACGTGTCCTATACATTTGCTCTTAGATGCGTACTACCTATAAAGGATTGGACAGTAATTTAGTTATCTGTGAATTTACAGGTACTACGATTACTGCCAGAAACACGTCCCTCCTCCCAAACATACATGGTCTTCCAGCCTTAGCCGCACTACTATTTTGTCCCTACGCTGAATTAAGGTATCTACAACACTGTACATACTAAATATTGCTAACAACATTGTATGGTTGTCACATAGTGCTCATTTAATGACTATCTATTGACATGTGTCAGGTTTCTACTGTAGAGTAGATATCTAATCTATCTTAAGATATCTTAACTATATCTGCAAAAAATCGAGAATGATACAGAATGGAGAATGCTAACTTTACTGTTATCTGCCTGCAAGGACCGTTAGCTTCTAATTTTCGATAGTATAGTTAATTCCTCAGTGGCAATCATCACTACCATCTTCTTTTGCATCCATTCAGGGCAGACAGAGCGAAAACTCGCTACACGGGTGCATTGTGTGGGCTCGGGCCAGATAAACGTGCCGCTGGAAACTCCCTGTTTTCTGACCATGACATCGAGATTTGTTTCGACACTCACTTTGATATCAACGACCTCGTAATGGTATGAAAGTTAATGAATCATTTTAATACTCGTTTTGATTAAAGAAGCATTGCAAGATGCCGTATATCAAGACAGAATGCTCATGCAGTAACTAGTACTAACAAATGGAAACTTGGTTGAGAACGTGTCACAGTACGCGAGGACCGCAACTTACAAACGGTTCCTACTAGACGATATAGAGATTTCGGAAAGAACGACGTTCTATTGTTTGTCATGTTTACGGACATGAGCCGTGAACTGCGATCCGCACACACGAACCGCTCGAGTGTCAGATTGCCGAATGATTGTCTTATGAACGAAATATCGTGTATTATTTTGACGATGGAATATTGTTGTATGTATTGTGCCATGGTCTAAATATCGTGATATGTATCCTATTGAAGTCCATAACACGTTATTCATGTCGTATCGTGGCTTAAATCTTGTGTTATGTATCGTATAAAGCTTCAAATATCGTGACATGTATCATGTCGGTGTGGAAATATCATTATGCGTATTGTATCATGGCACAAATATCACGTTACGAGCGTGCGTGCGGCGCGTGCCGGGTGTCCAACGTATCGACACACAATCATCATTCACGGTCACAGTAATAGTCGTGATCAACACAGATCAACTGCCATCGCAGTCACAGTAACACTCGTGGTCAACGCAGATCAACTGCCATCGCAGTCACAGTAACACTCGTGGTCAACGCAGATCAATCTGCCATCGGCAGTCACAGTAACACCGTGTCAACATCAGATCAATGCCATCGCAGTCACAGTAACACTCGTGGCAATGCAATCCATACTGCATATCGGTACGTCACAGTAATAATGAGTGCCATGCAATGCAAGATCAACTGCGTTCGCAGTCACAATAATAATCGTGTCGATGCAGATCAATTGCCATCTCAGTCACAGTAACAATCATGATCAATGCAGATCAATTGCATCATCAGTCACAGTAACAATCATGATCAATCGCAGATCACTGCATTCACAGTCACAGTAACAATCATGATCAATGCAGATCAATTGCAATCTCAGTCACAGTAACAATCATGATCAATGCAGATCAACTGCATTCACAGTCACAGTAGTAATCGTGATCAACGCAGATCAACTGCATTCACAGTCACAGTAGTAATCGTGATCAACGCAGATCAACTGCATTCACAGTCACAGTAATAAATTGTGATCAATGCAGATCAACTGCATTTGGAATCACGTAACAACCGTGGTCAACACAGATCAATTGCAATCTCAGTCACAGTAACAATCATGATCAATGCAGATCAACTGCATTCACAGTCACAGTAGTAATCGTGATCAACGCAGATACACTGCATTCACAGTACAGTAGTAATCGTGATGCAACGCAGATTCAACTGCCATTCGCAGTCACAGTAATAATTGTGATCAATGCAGAATCAACTGCATTTGGAATCACGGTAACACCGTGGTCAACACAGATCAATTGCAATCTCAGTCAGCAGTACACAATCATGATCAATGCAGATCAACTGGCATTCACAGTCACAGTAACATCATGACAATGCAGATCAACTGCATCACAGTCACAGTAACAATGCATGATCATGCAGATCAACTGCATTCGGCAGTCCAGTAACAATCATGATCAATGCAGATCAACTGCATTCACAGTCACACGTAGTAATCATGATCAATGCAGATCATACTGCGCATTCACAGTCACAGTAGTAATCATGATCAATGGCAGATCCAACGTGGGCATTCAATTCACAGCAGTAGTATCATGATCAATGCAATCAACTGCCATCTCAGTGACAGTAATAATCGTGATCATGCAGATCAAACTGCATTCGCTTGGAGATCAACAACCGGCAGATCGACGGCGACAACAGCCATATCGGACTGGGGTCGCCAGGCATTCAGCGGCATCGCAGCAGAAGCGCGGCGGCAGCTGCTAGCACTGATCTGCAAGAACCGAGCCTCCGTCAAGCCGACGATGTTCCACACGGAATACGAGTGGGACCAGGTACAGATGACGGTGATGGTGATGACGATGATGATGACGCTACTGCTGCTGCCTGCTGCTGCTGATGATGATGATGGTGTGTTTTGTCGATGTTATTATGATGACCACAATGAACATGATGACGATAGCGGTGATGATCACGACGGAGACGAAGACGATGGTAATGACGATGTTGATGAGGTTTTGTCGTGATGATGATGATGATGATGACTACGATGACAATGACGATGGCGATAATGATGTCCGCTCCGGCGTGGCAGGTCGATCCAGCGACTTGCTTCCCTCACCGGCTGGACGACACGTTGAAGAGCACAGCTTCTTCCTGCAGTACCACAACGGCATCTTTCTTGATGGAGAACGACACCGGCGACGATGACGACGACAACGCACGCAGGGAACGACGTCCGAACCTAGGCGATCGCCTGCAAAAGGTGAGCTGGTCTCTTGTTGCGGGTTACGTTACAATGTCGTTTGGATTCTGAAGAGTTGGGATGGTTTTCGGGTGGATGCTCGGTGTATTCCTGTGCCCGCGTCGTGTTTGGTGTGTGTACGTGTTTGTGTGCGTGTGCGTGCGTGTGTGTGTCGTGTGTGTGCGTGCGTGCGTGTTTGTGTGGCGTGCGTGTGTTGTGTGCGTGTGTGTCTTTGTGTGGCGTGCATGTGCGTGTGTGTGTTTGTGTCGTGTGTGTGCGTGTAATGTGTGCATGCATGTATGTGTGTGTTTGTGCGTGGCGTGGTGCGTGTGTATGCATGTTTGTGTGTGTGCGCGTACATGTTTTGTGTGTGCGTGTGCGTGTGCGTGCATGTTTGTGTGTTTGTGGGTGCATGTTTGTGTGTGTGTGTATGTGCGTGTGTCTGCATGTTTGTGTGCATGTTAGTGTCCGTGCATGTGTGCGTGCGTGCGTGCGTGTGTGTGCGTGCATGTTTGTGTGTGCAGACCTGCCAACCTGTGATTCATGAAAATAGTAAGGCTTTTCTTTTCTTGCAGCAGGTGGCCATTTTGTTTGTATGTTATGCGCGCGCAATGAATGATGGGACTAACTCTAGATCCGCGAGAACAACGTGAAGCGCGTGATCGCAATATGGCTGCGCCCACATCGCCAGATATTTCTCGGCTCCAATGTAAAAAACATTAATTTTCACAAGTCGTAAAAAATCGTAAGTTTTCCAGTTTGATCGTACATTCGTAGAAACATCATGGAATTCGTAAGGAATACGAAAAATCGTAAGGGTTGGCAGGCTCTGTGTGTGCGTGCATGTTTGTGTGTGTGCGTGTCTGCATGTTTGTGTACGTGCATGCATGTTTGTGTGCGTGCATGTTTGTGTGTGTGCGTGCATGTGGTGTGCATGCGTGTGTGATGTTTGTGTGTGTGCATGCGTGTGTGCCATGTTGGGGTTCGTTCTTGGTGTATGGTGTTTGGCTTGTGCATGTCTGCCAGGTTTGAATGTAAAAAGATGCCAGGTTTTATGGAAAAAGATGCAGGAGAAAATTTGTTAAATTGTGAACATCTCCGGCGATACTTGAGTGATCTGTCATATCTGAACCAGCAATGGGTGTGTGGCAGGTTCAATTGTAATGCATACACTTGCTCGCCCCTCTTCTAACTCAATCTCTTCCTTGTCATCCTTCCCTTCTCCCCCCCGCCCCCACCACTCTGTCTCTTGCAGTTGCTTCCTCTGTTATTCAATCGATTGATATTTCTAGGCAGAATATTTCCGGAGCAAGTGGATCGTAGCATTGAAAGGCATCTGTTAATGAGTGCGCGAGATGGCAAGGCACACATCACACATGCCGTGCCAATGTACAGACAGACTCACTACCCGTGAGTAAATTGTTCAGTTTGTCGAGATTATCATGTGCCAAATGAGATATATCGCATATGACGTTGTACACTGTGTACGTGTGAGTATTTTCAGTTTCTTCTTTCTTTGTACAAGAGGGTGCCACCAGTATAAGCTGCATCCTTAAACCAAAATTTTAAAGTACTGCACAAGTAGAAATTGTCTTATTAAAACACAATAGCTACAAGAATTGGCGGTGAACTTGGTTTCAGATTTGTTGACATTTTGCAACGTCTAGAAGCACATTTTGTGAAATTTGAGTCCATGTAGTGGCGATGTTTGATGGTAAATCTTAGTTGGAATTTACTAATATTGAAACTTGAGGTACAATTCAAAAGATCAGGCCACATTGCAATATAAGTTATTTTTAGTTATAAATACAGAGCAATGTAACTTTTTTTTATACATTAGATGAGGTTTTGTATTAGAATACAATGCAGAGTCAGTCAGAATTAATGACAGATTCGCTGGAAGTGTTGACAGAATCATGCATTTTACTTAAAACTAACTCAGTTCTGATGGCTTCATTAAAAATAATGCAAGCAAACAATAATTTGCATAGCCAAAGGTTTTTAATTCTATCATACCTAGGACTTCTGTTATTGCATTCACATTTTCTGATTAATCTGCTTCTGATTTCTGATGATTTTGTAATGTGGAGTATTCTAGTATATCTACATGGTTTGGTGAACAGATATACAGTGATTAATTATGAGCAGTGTGATATATGTAGGTTATGAAACAGAATATGTATTTTTCCATTTTGTCCATTCTTTCCTTTTATTGTCTGTACAGTAAAAAATTAAGTATACATTAATAAGTTAATTTCATGTGTTTTAGTTTGTATAATTTGGCGATTTAATTTAAGGTACTAGTTGAGATTAACAAAAATAGTTTAATGTTTTGGAAATCATACTATATAAATATCAACAAAGGTATAAAAAAAAACATAGCCTATGGAAAAATGGGCTGAGGTTTAATGAAAATATTACTGTTACAATTGTTCATGTTTCCCATTCTTCATTTATTATAGTAATATACCCATGATTTAGGTAGCACCAACAGCAATATCATGCCTCAACCCTTTTTTAATTTAATTGCATTTTATAGTAACAAAACAATTCGTCATTTAAGCATCAGTTTTAAAATAGTCTGATATGACCACGAGTACATAAGGATTATTTAGAATATACCAATCTCATATACGCCTGGCATGACATGCAGTGACTTATCAGGCCTAATCCATTGTGTAGTTGAAGGTTCTTCCATTGACAGACAGTGTGACAAGTAATGACCGTGGATCCTTTGGGTCTTTAAGCACCTGTACATTTCCTCTTATGACCTCTCTCTGCATAAGGTAAAAGACTGCATCTCTATCGCAAGGACAATCACAAGTAGAGCATGCCCACCAATAAACTTGCAGTGTGTAATCTCTTAGTCTTGCCAGCATGCAAAAGTACTACCAAATCATTGCCGTCCTATTCTTACCACTCCGTACTATGGCTCTGACTACTATCATACACATATGTATATTATACTCATGCATTTACTATAGATTATAGAGTATATTATTAGTATATATAATAGTATATATATATATATATTATATATATATATATATACTGTGTGTGTGTTTATATACATATCATATACATTATATTTATGTATATATGTATATACTACGGCTTTCTACTAGTATCGTTCATACTCGCTTAAAAACGCATTGCAATCACTCAGGGAAGTCGTTTTTTTTAATTACACAGTGTACGCACCTTGACAGACAGGTATGGGCTCTCGCAGATAAAACAGCGTCTGCTTCCAGTGGGTTGGCGTGTCGGCTGCACTCGTCGAAAAACTCACCTGCCGTACAGTACATACAATATGCCGGTGTACGCACTAATGAAATTGGGAATGGCCGCACAAGTCGTTACGATCGATAGTGACGCGCACTGTAAACTGCAGTTTGTTGGAGCTTCTTAGAAAAGCATCTGTTTGTCAGTAAACATTTCACTGCCACGAGGTCAGTATAAACAACAAACATGACATAGCAGGACTGTGACAATTAAGGCGGAAACAGACCCACCATTTATATTTCCAGTATAAAAATCATAAAAACTTGGACATGAACATAGAACGTACCGGTTCCTGCAAGTCTTTGTCGAATCGAATGTCAAAAAAGCCTGTGATGGCTGTCACTACACCCTTTCTGCAGGCCGTTAATAGAAACTCGCTGGAAAAATCCAGCTCTGTCACACTACACGTCTTCAGATCCAGTTCCTATGGAACAAATTTTTATTTGGGGTTAACCTAAACATATGTATACTGTATGTGTGCGTGCGTGCGTGCGTGCGTGCGTACGTGTGTGGGCTTACGTAGAGTATATATAATTATGTTTGTGGCGTTACACATTGCAAGCACCTGCCTTTCATTATTTTACCTATTTACCTTACCATTACCTTTTTTCACCTCTCAATATTTTAGTTAGTTTGCTATTATTGTTGTCATCTAGTTTTATTTAGATTTATCTATATTTTTAATTGTGATGAACTTGTTGAAACCATGGATGTATCTGTAACTCAGCTTAAAGTTGCAGCCGTGTGTTATGATGCAGCACGATTGCACGAACACCAACCGACTTGTTTTACTAACCATGGTAACAATCACAATACTATCTACAGGCATAAATACATTGTATGTGTGTGTGTATGCGTGTGTATCATATGTGTGTGTATGTATATATATGTATAAGGGTACTCGCTACTCACTGCTCAGTATGCGTGTGTGCATGCGTGCATGGGCGTGTGTTCATACTACAGAGACACTTACCTTCACTACAGCACTGTTCGACATGATGTCATCTTTGCCCACTGTCTCTATGACAGCCTCCTTTTCCACTATCGACACCATGCACGACATTTTGAAATCGTAGACGTCATTCCAGAACCCAATGTGTTCCTGATGCTTGCTCACATTGCCTACTGCAGCAAGGCTTATGGAACACAAGTTGGGAAACACTGAAATTGGGAGGCAAATGAAATCCAGCTGAGACAACACATCGGGGACTTTTGATCAAAATGAACAATGTTGGAGCTACGGAGAAAAAAACTTATGCAGCGGTAGTTGAGTAAACGAACACCCCCACCTCCAAAAAAAACTTAACGATTTGTTGAAGCAATAGTATATCCATTGAGCGACATGAATAGAGTTACTTACTGTGTCCATTAGGAGTCAGCCACTTATCTCTGGCGTACAGAACGCTGTCGAGCATAGATTCGAATAACAGGAAGTAGCCCATCCATTCAGATATGATGATGTCTACCTGTAAACACCACAGCAGCTACCTCACACCCAGCACCCGTTACTGTTTCGGCCAAAAAAACGTTTTTTAGTTCTTGCGCCGAAAAGCAGCCCACGCCGTTAATGCAACGTTAACTTTTTACACGCGTGGCAATGATTATAAATTGATTTGATTTACATCCGACGAGGGTGTGGCCGCACGAACACTGATCGCATGTGACGAACGACGATGACGAGCCATTTACATGTATATTGCTCGTAACATTACACTGACATTCCACAGGCGTTGGTGTACCACTTAACGTACTTTATCGACGGGCAGCGAAACCTCCTCCACTTTGCCTCTGATCACGGTGATGATGTGCTCCAGCTTGTTCTCTCTGCAGCAGACACACATACCCAACAAACCACCGGTCAGAGACAAGCCTTCATTATTCTGAACGACCGCAACGATTACATTCGTCGTCGCGAAAACACCCTAATCTAGATTCCACGGATTTTTCCCGCAGGCTAACGCGCTCGACTTCGTACGTAAACACCGATCGCTATCATCGGAACTAGATCACGCAAATCCACATAGCGTTCTCGACACGCGTTTCGTCATCTCATCGCGCATCTCCTTGTCATTGTCATCTCGTCGTCGCGCGTCTCGTCGTCTCGTTGCCGCGGCGACGCGAGTCTGGGGGGAGCAGCACCTGACTATGTCCATCGCCTGGTAGACAACGTCGGACATGTCGACGGCGATGACGCGGCGAGCGCCGGCGCGCGCGGCGAACATCGACAGGATGCCCGTGCCGCAGCCGACGTCGAGCACGACCGCGTCGCGAAACACGGCCGCGTTGCTCATCACCGCGCGCCGGTAGCTGAGCGTACGCACCTTGTCCTGCAGAGCGAAGCAAACATGAGTGAGTCGCGCGACGGGGGGGGGGGGGGTAGCGGTCGTAACATGGGCACTATATACGTATATACTGTATATATATATAGAGAGAGAAAGAGAGCAAGAGCGCGAAAGAGAAAGCCCCAACCTTCCTGGTCACAGTGCACGTATGATACGTGTGCAGCGGCGAATGTACGTATGATGTCAGTATTAGTAGAAATTAATGAGGTAGGGCTAATGGATCTTGCTTAGTTTGCAACATATGAATAATAGCTGCTTATATTTTTATGTGTGGAGTTTATTTTAACAGGGTAGGATTTGGCTTATAGCCAGGCTTACTGTTAGGTTTATGCTTGGTGTTAAGCCACTCATGATTTCCGTCACAATACAACTGTGCGAGATCCCCGCAAAACTCCCAGCCTTCCGGGAAAAAAAACCCATTGAAAGACCGCTACCAACGGCGTGCGCCTCTCGCGCCGCGACCGTTAATCCGGACCATCCAGGAAAACTCGGCGAAGGATGCACCGACCTTGAGCATTTCCTCGTGTATGCCGTGGTGAGCGTAGGCAGAGAAGTAGCCGAGGTCCTCGCACGCGGGCCGACGCTGCACGCTGCTGCTGCTGCTGCTCGCCGCATGCCCCGCATCCTCGTCACACGGCAGCACGATGTCACGCACGCACGTCCTTCAAGCGAAGACGTAAATCAGTACGACAGTCGCCGCATCGCTAAAACGACTTGCATCTTTGAAAGACGGTCCCCGCGCACTTGCCTTTATCGTTACGTGTTTTGCCGCTTAATCGAGACCACATTGTCGTGATTGCTGACCTGCCCCAATGAAGCAGGGATCACGGTACTGCACGTGTCGGTGCTTAAAGTGTTATAAGGAGCGAGTAAAAAACATTTATTTTTATTCACTCCTAAATGCAGAATTGTGTACATAACGTCAGGAGTCTATCAATATATGATAGACTCCTGATAACGTAGTGGCTGTGCTTATAACCGTTTACACTGGGAATCCTGACCCATCGTTAAAATTATAATAACACGTCTGTGAATGTCGGAAACAGCAATGAGTAATGTGATAACACTTGACACAAAATAAAACACATTATAATGATATATGTGTTATGCAATAAATTAATCCTTAATAATACACGTGTTGACATAATAAAGCATTACTATGCTGCTAATAGAATGACAACATTGCAGGTGATAACGGCAGGTAATGTAATCAGGTCATAGCTATCTATATGGTCGGACACACATTTTTACCATCACAAGGCAGAACCTTGGAATTGCTTCACACGAGTCATTTTTATTGGCCGCATACTCTATAGTTACAGAGCCTTCACAGAGAAGGCTATATTATGTCTTTACCTCATTTTGTCCATTTTCTGTTGCGACTCGCACAATTGTTCCTGTAGCTGAGCCACATTGCGTTCAGCTGCCTCTAGTCTTGAAATGAGAGCGTGGTACTTGACACGTGGTACTGTGACTTCTTCTTCACTCCCTGGCGTAGTATTTTTATTATCACCTGTTCGTCCGACTGCTTCTGGATTTGACTGAATGTGGTCGCCATTGCTTACACTGATATCTTCAATATCTGTGGGCATGAAAATTGTTAAGTGACCCACATCCTGATCACTGTAGATGAGTGGGTGTGATGATAATGTGTTAACTTTACAATAATGCACATTTGGAAACAGTATTGTAGTTCTTTGTGTTACCTATTGAGGCTATTGTATAACTGAATAATTGTACAGAAATTACCATTTTCAATTTATTTATACACATTTAACAATTGGTGAATTACAGACAGCACTCTTCAGCAGACCCCAAAATAATTATCATGAGATAGCCACAACTGTGCAAGGATTATAAGCCTATATGATGTTAGATTGAAAATTACCTGTAATGTAGTAGAAGTATGACGATGGACTTAATAAATATCACAACACAAATGTTTCAAATATACAATTATTTCATACCAAACTGCAATGCAGCATCATCTTCAATTACAGGTTTCAAATAACTTTCGCTACACCAAGGTGTTCCATCACAGCCTTCATTTCCAAAGAAATCTACTGATGGTTTCTGCAAAGAGTAAATTAAAAGGAATTACGGATTACATTTCGTAACACTCGCACGTACAATTCGTTTGTGGTCGTTTTGTTAAATTTACATCATTTACTTATATAATTCTCCAATTAATAACAACTGGTCAAGAAGGATGTCTGATGGTGTACTCATTACTACCTTTCATTAAACACACTTAAATTGAGAAAACAGTAAAACCTAGTAGTGCAAGTCGTCATCTGTGTCAGAGGAACATTTCAAGCAATTGATAAGGTCAGATGTCAGATGCCAGATACTGATTCAACAGCTACATGGCATTTGTTGAACCACAAAATTGGGCACGAATTTGTCACTAACAGGTTATATACATACTTGTATGCATTGTCTAAAGAAAAAGTAAAAATAGAACTAGATATCATCCTGTGTATGTACCTCTTTCCTAATATAATTTATCATTTTAATATAGCTGAAATCATCTAGATGAAATCTCTGTACAACAGACGTGATGTCGAAATTGTGGTTCACGTTGCAGTGGCAATACATGTCATCCACAGTGTTGAACCCCTGCTCACAAAACAGGCAGGTGGCAGTAGTGGCCATCGGCTCTGGATTGCACTCTTCCCAGTCCTCTTCATCACCACTGTCTGACACTTCATCCATATCTGGCACCTGGTTATCGCAGCTGCCTATAATACATTCACAGAGACAAAAATTACGAAACAAAATTATTATAGAGTGGAATGGGAAGGGAGAAACCATTTTAGTATTGTGATACATAGTAAGTTCCAGGATAGCGGAGAAAGGTTCGTGTTGAGAATAAACCCAGTTTGGAAGTTATAGTCTTTGAAAACGCACCAGCAAACCGCCCTGAGTGATTCACTCAGGGGTTCCTCCATGCAAAAGGATACGCTCGCGTTGTAACCCTATCCTGTGTTTGGGTTACATTATTGTATCTAGCCTACACCAGTTGGTTTGGATTGATTGTCAGTTCAGATGCAAAATATTGAAAGCAAAAGGTTATACATCATAGATTAATTTGGGTACTATGACGCGCGTATATGAGATAGCCGAGTCGGTTTAGAATTAGTGTTAGGGTTAGGGGTTGGGGTAGCCCGACCAGGCTGTGCGACGGATTGTCTATACAGCCTGACACCCTTCCATACAAAAAACCTATCACCTCTGCAGATCTAGATGAATAACTCTGTATATCTCAAATAAAACTATTCTATTACCACCTTTGACTTGCCTTGTTTGAAATATGAACATTAACTCACAGTTGTCCTGCTTCTAAACTAGAATGTATCTCTTAATTCACGGTATAATCTGCTAATTCTCACAGCATATCAACTTTCCAATCAGCTTTACCCGCCATGTTTACACTGCGCATGAGTCAATGGAAGAGAGACACGGAAAACCCGAAACGGAAAAGACTCGCTAGAAAATACTACAGAAAGAGTACAATAGCTGCACGATGGCTCTCCCGGCAATTACACACCAAAGCAAGTGAAACGATGTTCACAAATGTCTGGGCCATTTGTAAAAACCTTAGATGACATGTTCTCGGATGTAGGGGTGGTTTGCATGAGGACCGCAGATCGTTTAATTTCCCTTGTTCGATCCATTGCGGATTTTAGTCACAGTCGGAATGATAGCAAACATGGTGGCAAATTCATAAATTTGGTTGCATTCGTCTCAAAAAGTTGCTGTAGCCCCGTAAGTACCCAGCGCATCGTAGCACACTGATGGTTACAAGAAGGTGGATGTTTACTGATTCATTTGGTATATCACATGTGAAGTGTTCTTTGGCGATTCTTGGCAAATAAGACAACTACGTGTTTACCTGCAGCCAATGTTTGGGCCCAAGGATAGAGAACATGGGTCCCAATAAAACCAATGTGCTTGGCTAACACCCTGACCTTAACCCTAACCCTAATCCTAACTCTAATTCTAACCCTGACCTTAACCCTAACCATAACCCTCACCAAAAATATAATCAATATAATCAATAATATTGATGTAAATGACATTGGTTTTATTGGGACCCATGTTCTCTATCCTTGAACCAATGTTTGAAACGGTATTCTAACCCTAGCAATACCGTTTCTTGGACTTGGAGCTAGGGTTGGGGATAAGAATAGGGTGACTGTCTCAGTGTCTGTACTTGTGTGTGACTGCCGTACCCGTAGCCTCGAGACATTAAGATACGACTGCAGCGCATGCGTAGTGTGACTGCCGTACCCGTAGCCTTGAGACATTAAGATACGGCTGCCGTACCCGTAGCCTCTGCGTTATAATAAACCATGTTATTTAACATAAAACTCGTGTACGACTTACTGGGTGCTGCCATCTTGAAAATCACAGCGCCATCTGGTTACGACCATGTAAGTTATTTTAACTTTTAATCATTTGTTTATGTGATGTTAAGTTACAGTAAGAAATGTGTATTAATAAACGTACGAAAAAACTATATCGCGTATATATGTATCAACAAATGTATATATTGCTCTTTGGGAGGTATTGATATTATTGATAAAAAATACAACTGGTATTTCGGTAGGCAACCGCTAGATGGCAAGCAAAGAGTTCTAATGCGCCAAGCTGTAAATATATACCTAGGCCTTATTCCGTGCTGTAAACTAAATATATTTATGATATATGGTTCAGCGTAATTTATTATTAACGTGCATTGCACTTGTCGTATTGCAAGATGACGCGAGGCCGGAAAATGGAAAGCTTGTCGCCAAAGTTTCATAGCTTCATCCTCTCTAACGGAGTTCGTATGCCAAAGCTTGGACTTGGTAAGCATCCCTTCCTCGGAACGGACCAGTACTGGGGAGTGGAGTATCGGAACAGTACTGCCAGTAGGCTACATCAAACATGCATACGTTTTGTATCTGTGTTCGATCTGAGTTTGATAAATTTATATATCCGTCACTTTAATGAAAACGAATATCGTAATTTTTTGTGCGTTTGCAGTGTTTACGTGGTAAATCCGCACACTGCGGCATGCGGTCCCCTACTGACTATTCTTGCGTGTCGCCCTGCCGATAATGCGGCGAGTTCAGTAGCTGGTACTTTTCCATCCGCAGCCGGTGACCGGTTAAGTGATTGCAGGCGTTCTGTGTGTAAGTAGATTAATGAATGGACGATGGCTTACGGAGCCGGAAGGTTATGTAATCCACGCGTTTTTACACATACTCTGTGTTGTACTGTACTATAAAAACCACTAATGTGATGAAGGTGTGCAGGTTTTGCTATCTCAAGCTCCAAAGTAGAAAATGTTTGTTAGTCTAGAACCCCACTCCCTCAGTCTATAGTTACTGGGGCTGAGAGGGTCTATGTCTCCCAGGGTACTGCCGGAACGTACCCTGCGTACGGTCCGGTATACCGGAACGTACCCTG